GAGAGGGATGTGGTTTGGAGATTCTTATAGGCTTTGGGGAGAAGGGTTTTGAGGGAGAGAGAGAGAGAGAGAGAGAGAGAGAGAGGTGTGTGGAACACAGGTCAGGCACGCACCCACCAGAGGTGAGGGACTGGGGTGATGACTTTCACCCCTGCCATTCCCATGTCTCATCCCATTCAAACTCCCACTCCTCCCTCTGCCCCCACCAGCGCCTGGGGCAGGTCCAAGCCCAGAGAGGAGGGGTTCTTTCCTACCTGTGGCATTTCTGAAGGAGACGCCTATGGTGAGATTCTGAGGGGCATCTGGGATAGAAACACAGGGCCCCACTTCAGATGGAAGTCACCCCAATCCCAAGGAGGGGCGGTGGGAACCAGTAAGGTGGGGTTCTCTCTTTCTGGCCCATTCCCCACCTACTCGCAGATCCATGCACAAATGTCTCAGGTTAGCCCAGCCTCCAGCACACACACACACACACACACACACACACACACACACAGACATTGCTCCCACTGCCCCCATGGACCCCGCCACCCCTCCAACACTCACAGGAAACATCGAGCCGGATGGTTCTCTGTGTGGTCAACAGAGGCTGTTGGATTTTGACCTGACAGGTGAGGTTGGTACCGTGATCCTGGGGCCTTGGGGTAAAGGTGAGCATGAAGGAGCGGAGGGTCTGGGGGTTCAGTGAGTCCACAGCTGCTCCCGCCCAGGAGAAGGTGAAACGTTGTTTCCTTTCACAGGAAACTGGCAGGCTGCAGGCCAGCTGTGTGCGGCGGCCAGACTCCAGAGGCTCCAGAATCTGGATGAGGGGTTTGTCTGTCAGGGAAAAAGAGGAGAGAGGGAGGTGAGCCTCAGGAGCTGGGGACACAAAGTGTGATCCTGAGTGGGACTCGTGTCTCAGGGCCTCAGACCTCCCCAGGCCCTGTGATCATCCCACCACCCAGGGCCCAAGGCCTGGACAGGGAGTGTCCAGCATCCTGTTCCTGCTCTAAGATGGGGTCCCATGTCCCTGGGTGCTCTCCTGGGCCCGTGCCGTACCTGTCACCTGCAAATCCAGCATCTTATCTTTGTAAATATGTCTCATTTGAGTTCCTATCTCCATTTGGAAGAAGTAGCGTCCTGTGTCACTCCTCCTGGCGTCTGTGATGCTCAGGGAACAGTCGTTGGTCCTGGGGTCCCTGAGGAGGAAGCGGCCTTGGGTCTCTCTCTTCACTGGTTTATTTGGGTTGTTTGAGGCCACAGAAGCAGCATAGTCTATGTTGTCCCCGTCCCGGTACCAGTAGGTGTAGAATTTGCTAGGGGAAGACCACGAACCTCACGGGTAGGAGAAGGAGCAGGGCACGAGGACACACAGACCCTCATGCACCATCACCGATTCCTGCACTCGGAGCTCATACTGGTAGCCTCGCTGCTGCTGCAGGGACCCTGGGAGGGGGACAGAGGCTCATCGGCAGCCCCTGCTGATCCCCCTCCTACCCAGTCCCCCTCCCTCAGCCCACTCACCCCCCCACAGCAGAGGCAGCAGCAGCAGGGGCACCATGTCTGCATCTGGCAGGGCAGAGCGGGTCCTGGTCCCTGGTCAGAGAGGGAAGTGCTCAGCTCTGGGGTGGGGCCTAGGACACCCCAACAGGAAGCTCAGGGGGAGAGAATGGGGCCAGGCTAGAAGGGGAACTTGGCCTCCACAGGACGTGGTGGAGGGTGGCTGAGAAATCACCCTGTCTCCCTCCCCCCTCCCACCCAACCCTGCCGGTGGATATGCTGAGGCCCCCAGAGGTTGAGAGGGGTGTCCAGATGTGAATCTGAAAGTGATCACCTTGCAGATGATGTGTAAGTGGAGAGGTAGGTCACCCAGGGGGCCACTGGGGTCAGAGCTAGACTTGGGGGAGATACAACCTTGAGCTGAAACCACTGATGGGTCTGGAAAAGGATAACTTTACATTTTCTTTAGGCAACTCAAGTGCTGGCAAAAGAAAAAGGAATTTAGACTCAATTCCAGTTGGGGGATGGAGCCCCAGCAAAAAGTTGAGCATTCAAGCCCTTTGCCCTGAGAGCTTTGTGGGGACATGGGAGGCACACGTGTGGGTCTTCCAGGGTCTGAGGGACCTGGGACAGTGACAGCACACGGAACCCATCAGAAGGTGATGTGTGAAGGGAGATCTCACCCCAGTTGGAGGGACCCAGAGGCGGGGCCTTAGCACATCAGCAAATTTGCCACCTTACAGCTCAGGAAGCTCCACCTTCAGGGCCCCTCACCTGCGCAGTCCCTTTTCAAAGCCCAGCAGGGGCTCCAGCGATGTGTGGACATAACCTGCAATCCTACTGCTCTTTTATGAAAGAAAGAAACTTGATCAATGTTTCCCCAAATATGGCAGTGATGTGAAACTTCAGACATTCCCAGTAACAAATTGTGTGATTGAAAGATGGGACCCTACATGTGGCCAAATTTCGTGTACGGTGTCTCTAGTATAAATATAATGTTCTAGTAACTAATACCTAATGTAATATTAACATTTATTGCTATGTGACAGAATTACTCTCCTATAAAGAGGCAATCCAAGGGTATCAACTAAACTGTGGAGCCTGGCCAGGTGGCACAGTTGGCTGGAGCATCATGCCTTACACCAGAAAGTTGTAGGTTAAATTCCTGGTCACGGAACATACCTAGGTGGCAGGTCCCATCCCCTGTATGGGCATGTAGGAGGCAACCGATTGATGTTCCTCTCTCACATATCTCTCTCTCTCAGGGCTCAGAACAATGGCCTCTATCAGCACTTCTGTCTGGGAGAAAGCTCTGAAGGGAACACTGAATTCTCTCTCTATCCTCTATATTATCTATATATATAAAAGGCTAATAGGCAAGGTGTTCCCTTGGAAGTTGACCAGGAGATTGGGAGTTTGATGGCTCCTTGGGACGTGCACTAACCACCAGGGGGAGGTATGGAATAAAGGAAGGCCCTGGCTGGCAGCTGGAAGGCCCCAATTGGCCCTGATCACCGCCAGGCCTTGGGACCCTACATGTGGCCAAATTTCGTGTACGGTGTCTCTAGTATAAATATAATGTTCTAGTAACTAATACCTAATGTAATATTAACATTTATTGCTATGTGACAGAATTACTCTCCTATAAAGAGGCAATCCAAGGGTATCAACTAAACTGTGGAGCCTGGCCAGGTGGCACAGTTGGCTGGAGCATCATGCCTTACACCAGAAAGTTGTAGGTTAAATTCCTGGTCACGGAACATACCTAGGTGGCAGGTCCCATCCCCTGTATGGGCATGTAGGAGGCAACCGATTGATGTTCCTCTCTCACATATCTCTCTCTCTCAGGGCTCAGAACAATGGCCTCTATCAGCACTTCTGTCTGGGAGAAAGCTGCCCCTCCTGCTCTCTCCTAGATTCCAGATAAGTTGGTTCCTCCCTACATGTCCCAGTTTCCTTTTAAGCAGTGCCCCAAGTGCTAGGGCTCAGAGGGAGTGAGTCTGAGTAAGACTGTGCTCAGGCCCTTTAAGAGGAGCTGCCTGGGGCTCCAGCAGCCTCTGTGTCACTCAGCCACAATCCTGGCTGGTTTTTTGAGCCAGAAGTTGTGCAGACTTGATACCCTTGCTCCTCAGGGAAACCTCCACAGTCAAGATATCCTTCCTGATTTTAAACCAACACATGTGGGTGTGACACCAGCTGGTCATGAGAGTCTGCCCTGAATCTCTTCCCCTCCTACCAGTCTCAATGTGCATCTTCTTCAATCCCCTAGTTGTAGGAATTGCTTTCAGCTAGATTTCAGGTGGTTCTGGATGATGATTGTTCCATATTTTAGTTGTAATTTCTATGTTGTTGTGGGAGGAGGTGAGTGCTGAGTTTACCTATGCCACCATCGTGACTGAAACTCTCAGGTGATTATTTAAATCAAGTAAATCATATTTGAGTATAAAATAAGCAAACAGACTTGATTCCAGTAGACTTTTCCTATACAAATACTAAAGGAAGTTCTTCAGGTAAAGAAAAAGGGTGAGGCTTTTTGTTTGTTGATTAGGTTTATAATATTGAAGATATATATATATCATAAAGTTTGCCATCTTGCCCTAGCTGATTTGGCTCAGTGGATAGAGTGTTGGCCTGCGGACTGAGGGGTCCCAGGTTTGATTCCGATCGGGGGCACATGCCTGGGTTGTGGGCTTGATCCCCATTGGGGATGTGCAGGAGGCAGCCAATATATAATTCTCTCTCATTGTTGATGTTTCTGTCTCTCTTTCACTCTCCCTTACTCTCTGAAAGCAATAAAGATATATATTTTTTTAAATTTGCCATCTTAACTATTCTTGAGTTTACAGTTCAGTAGTGTTAAGAATATTGACATTGTTGTGCAAACATTCTCCAGGACATTATCATCCTCAAAACTAAAACACTTTAGCCATTTAACAATGACTCTTCATCTGTCCCTCCCCCCAATTCCTGGTACCCACCATTCTACTTTCTGTTCCTTAGAATTTCACAGCTGTAGATACCTCACAGAAAGGGAGTCATCCAGTAGCTGTATTTCTGTGACCAGCTTATTTCACTAAGTACAGTGCTCTCAAGGTTCACCAACGTCACAGCACCTAACAGGGTTTCCTTTCTTTTAAGGACTGAATAATACAATAATTGTATGTGCAATAGATTGAACTTTGTGAGATCAATGGTGCAATGCTATAGACAGAATGTTGAAGTCCCTCCTGAAATAAAAATTTTGAAATCTTAACCCCAAGTGTGCCATGCCAGCACTGCCAAGGTTGAACATGTGGAGGGGCGATGAAGGATTAAAGAAGACAGACAAGAGAATACAGCTGGGGCTCGGTGGATCTCCTCTAGCTGGATGAGGACACAGATAGACCCAGCCTGCAAGCCGAGGCTTTATTTTATAGTCAGATCACAACAATGTAGTGGTCAACATGTTTACAAGGTTCTTGTGAGTTTCACCTTGTTTTGGCAGCCCTTGCTGCACCTCCCACAGCCATTAGCTACCTAGGAAGGAACTAGGGAGGGCTATAAGGTCAAGCTTAATTATGCTGGGAGGGCTCTGCCCTCCAAGCTGGGACTTGTCTGTGGTCAGTCTGAGGTTAAACCCTATGGCCACTCCCTACACATACCATAACCCAAGGGGATGATGTTAGCAGCTGGGGCCTGAGAGAGCTCCCTCTCCCCTTCCACCATGTGATGTTTCAACTAAAAGTAGGTCGCCTGTACTGTGGAAGAGGGCACTCGCCAGAACCCAACCTTGCTGGCACCCTGATCTTGGACTTCCAGTCTGCAGGTCTTTGAGCAATAAATTCCTGCTATTTATAAACCACCAGTCTATGGTCTTTTGTGAAAACATCCAGAACAGCCTAAGACATATGACCCTTTTAAATGCGTGTATCCAACAATGGACATTTGGGTTGCTGAATCCTCTTAACTATTGTGTATTCAATAATGCCACTAAAGTATGGGTATGCAGATATCTTTTTGAGGTCCTGTTTCCAGTTCTTTTGGATATATAGCCTCAAGAGGAGTTGTTACATTCATGGTAGTTCTATTTTTATTTTTATTTTGAGGAAATGCCATATTGTTTTCCGTAGCCGGTACATCCTTTTACAATCCCACCAAATGTGCAAAACGGTTTCAATTATTGCACATCCTCACCAACACTTGTTATTATCTCCTGCTGGTTTCAAAAATATATTTTTATTGATTTCAGAGGATAAGGAAGAGAGGTAGAGAGAGATGGATACATGAAGGATGAGAGAGAATCATTATTTGGCTTCCTTCCTTACGCCCCCTACCGGGATTGATCCTGCTACCTGGGCATGTGCCCTCACTGAGAATCCAAGCATGATCGCCTGGTTCATAGGTCCATGCTTAAACATTGAGCCACCAGCTGGGCTGTTGGTCTTACTTTATAGTAGCCGCCCTAAAGGGTGTGAGGTGATACCTCATTACAGTTATGATGTATGCATTCATTCATTGATTATTGTATGTGCCCTGGAAAGGATAAAACCAGCCAACTAGAAGACACTCTAACCAACTGAACTACCCAGCAAGGGCTTTGATTTGCAGTTCTTTTGGATTCCTGATGTTGAATATCTTTTCAAAGTTTTTGGCTATTTGAAAATCATCTTTGGAGAAACATTGACTGGAGTGTTTTGCCCAATTCTTCAGTTGTGTTATTTTGGGTTTCTTATGTTGCCTCGTATGAGTTTGTAATATATTCTGAAGACTAACCCCTCATCAGATGATTTTCTCTCCCATCCTGTAGGTGGCCCCTGGAGTCTGGTGAGAGTGTACTCTTGTGCTTGGGTTTTGAAGTTGGTACAGTCCCACTTGTCTCTGTTTGCTTCCCTTGTCTGTGCTTTCGATGTAAATATGCAGGAAATCATTGCAAAATCCAATGTCATGGACTCTCCCCCTATGTTTTCCTCTAAGAGTTTTATACTTTTGGTTATTAGTTTTAGGTCTTTAATACATTCTGAGTTAATTTCTGTATAGAGGGAAGTGATTTTGTGATGGAAACCCAGAACTGCATGAAAGAAACATAACTGTGAGGGTTATTGTTCAAAATAGTCATTGTTTACCTGCAGTGTGTTCTCACAGTGGGATCTAAAGAAGCTGAACTCACAGAAAGAGAGGAGAACGGTGATGCTGGGGCTGCGGGTGAGGAAATGGGGAGATGTTGGTCAAGCATAGCTTTCAGCTACAAGATGAATAATTCCTGGGGATGTACTGGACAGCATGACCACTACAATTAACAGTATTTTGTTATATACCTGAAAGTTGTTAAGGGAGTATGTCATTAATGTTATAATCATAACAGTAGTAATTATATGAGAGCGTGGAAGTGTTAATGAACCTTGTTGTGGCAATCACTTTACCATATAGGTATATTAAATATGCACCATTACATACCTTAAACTTGCATGCATTCTGTGTCAAACATTCCTCAATAAATCTGGAGAGAAAATAATTGCTCACATCCAAGAAATTATTAATGTTCCCTAAAGTTTATCAGATTTATAGATGTAAGATATATGAACATAACAATACAAAATGGTGAGAGTATAGGTGGATGTGTCTTGAATGTTGAATCTTTTTAGTATTCATGAATAGATATAGCCTGGCTAGTGTGGTTCCGGGGTTGAGCATCGATCTATGAAACAGGAGGTCAGGGTTTGATTCCCGGTCAAGCTACAAGCCCAGGTTATGGGCTTCATCCTCAGTAAGGGACGTTCGGGAGACAGCCAATCAATGACTCTCTCTCATCATTGATCTCCTTCTCCCTTCCTCTAAGAAATCAATAAAAATATTTTTAAAAATAAGAAAAAATATAAATACCAATTGAAAAATAATTACAAGAAATAAACAAAACCCCTTACTTGGAACAGGTTCAACAACGGCAGCAACAGAAAGAGGAGATCTAGGTATAATTTGACTCAAGAAACTCCGACAGACACTAAACAATAAAATCAATTTTTATGTGATATCGCATAAATGTCTTCATTTATGATTAAATGTTGGGGTGTTTTATAATAATAATTACGAGGTAAGTATCTATG